TCTTGTAGCAACACCTCAAAACGAAGGGGAGACGGAGCGAATCCCTGCCGGGGACTCCTGTCTGCAAGTCTGTTGGCTGAAGGCCTCACGTGGCACGGAGCGGGGCAGCTGAGCAAACCTGTGGGGTGGGAGATGTCTGTGCTCTTCCCCTTCCAGGAGCTCGTCCGGCGAGTCCCGCTGGCAAGAGCTGGGCTGGAAGGATCCCGAGAAAAGTACACTTGGCTGCGCCCCTCATGCACAGAGTACTCCTACTCCTAGAGGCTCGATCTGACTCGGAACAGGGAGCTTTTATTTCCTTTATAGAGCTTCAGGGACCATGTAAATGTCATCAAAAAAAGGCTCCAGTGATGTTTCCTTTGTTCCCTAGTGGCTTGAGTCCAGCAAATGACAGCGGAGCCAAAAAGAAGAAAAAGAAACCGAAACGGAAGAAAGAGAAAGGAGGAGATCAACCTGACCAGGCTCAGGACCAGCCCGTAAAGGTAACTGACCCCTTCCAAGGGGCCGTGAGTCACAGCCCCGCAGAGCAGCAAGCCCTGTCCTGAACTTCTCTGGTGTGGCCAGGAAAGAGTCTCCCAATCCTGAAACTACCTGCTGTTGTCTTGAGGCCCTTGGCTGTTCAAAAGTCTGAGATTGAGAGCAATTTCCTGGCCTGGCTCCGTGCATGGGAATTCCCATTGCTGCGGGAGGTATTTGTGGAGCGCTCCAGGGTATAAACGCAATCCTTTATTGGATATCCAAGCCAGTTACAGCGCTGCAGTGAAAAGTTCAGACTGGCGCCTCTGAGTTATTCTTCCCAGAAGTCAGCTGCCTCCTTGAGCAGAGATGTCAGGGAACTGCCATGCTCTGTGCAGCCGAGCTCGGCTGCCACCTGCCAGCTTCCTCTCTTGCCCTCAGGGAATACAATGAATGCATTTTCCTACTTCTTGGACATTGATGTTGTCAATTTTGGTTAAGTAACATAAGAACAACAGGAGGGTCAGAGCAGGGTCTGTCTCACCCCTCTCTGCTTTGTCTACTCCTGACTAGCAGCCGGGGCTCCGGGATGAGTGCAAGTGTGGGACGTGTGCAGTTTGTCCCTGCCCTGGCGGCACCCTCTCAGTACCAGCAGTCAGCCCCTTTGGCCCCTCTGGACCTGGAGGCTGCTCTGAACCATACACTTACCTGATCCGATTATGAACCCCTTTGCACATCTTGCCTCTATGATATTCCAGTGCTTTGGATCTGGTTGCAACAAGATGTTGGGCATCGTTAAATGAGGTATTGTGTTTGCTTTAAGCTTGGTTTGAACCCTGATTCCCATGTTTATAAGAAATTGTGAGTAATTGCTCCCTGCCCTTCTTCTCCATCGTGATATACATACTTCAGTCACTCTTGCCTGTCTCTCCCAGTCCACAGAGCCCTTGTCCTCCCTCAAAACCTGTGGCAGGGTGTGAACACAGGCGTATATATACGTTAGCCTAAGCTGTTTTCTGTCTGATTCCCAGTTCCTATCCAAATAATTTTTAATACTTTGTCCTTCTGACTGTGCAGAGCATTAAATTAGTGCTTTCAGAGTGTTTCAAACTCTCTTCGCCTCTAATCAGCAAGGAGCTGGGGCTGTGAATTCATGGCAGAGCTGCTGACGCCGCTAGGTCTGCGAGGGGAGGAGGAGGAAGAGCTTGCGGTGTTTTGCCATTGTTGGCACTGCCCAGCTCCTCATCTCGAAGCTGCAGTTTGCAGATAGTGGTTTGATCCAGCTTAAATGGATGAGGCTGAAATAGAAAGAGAAATGCCACCACAAAAAGTGCAAATGCTGTGTGTGGGTTAACTTGGGGTGTCCCTGCGTTGGTGTTACTGAGGGTGAGGCAGGGAGCTTTGTTTGTTGTGTTCGCACCATCTTCCCTTTAACTGAAGCTTAGGACGTCTTAACGGTGGTTGATCTTTCAGCCCCTTTGACCCAGGAGTGCCTAAAAAACAGGTCTAAGCATGTAGCAGGTGGCTGGAAAAAGGGCTTTTCATCTCACGGAGGGTTATGAGAGGATCCAGGCTGGAAAGGGAATCTCTTCCCTGCTTTCCCTTCCCTGGCCCTGCCCCAAGGCAGGGAGAGTTCCTGTTTGTCCTTATGGGGAGCTGAAAAACAGAGCTTGTAGCTCAGGTCACTCACTTTTACCCCGCCTTCTCTCAGGTGAACTCTTTACCGGCTGAGAGGATCCAGGAGATTCAGAAAGCCATCGAGCTCTTCTCTGTAGGTCAGGGACCTGCCAAAACCATGGAGGAAGCCAGCAAGAGGAGCTACCAGTTCTGGGACACGCAGCCGGTGCCCAAGCTAGGTACGTACAGTCCGCTGCTGTTTTGCTGTAGCCGCGTGCTTCTGGGTACCACCCTTGTGATCCTCAGCCTGTCCGAAGAGCCCTCACTGGAGCTGTGAGGGTTTCTGGCCAGCAAGCAAGCCCCTAGACGGCTCCTCGGTGCTGTCATATCTGAGCTATGAAAGCATCAATGACACTTATCCACCAGTGAGCAACAGATGATGGACCAGCCTGCCATCCATGCTGCAGGAGGGCTCTGGGGATTGAGAAGGACAAGCAGCCATTTCAGGCATCAGACTGGATGGCTCCTCAATTTAGGATCCCTTAATCTCAGCTTTTACCCTTAAATTGGGCCTTCCCAGCCCTTTGTGGCTAAGTTTCATGTGAGGCACTGCCAGCTGCCTTCTTGCTGAGTCCCAGGGACCTGAAGCAATCCAGCAACCCCCTTCCTTGGAGGCTGAAACTTTAGCAGCAAAGGGCCCTTGGTGGGGGAGGTAACTCAGGGTGAGCCCTGCACTGTTGTGGGGCAGAGCATCACTGAGACGGAGCCAGCCTGCGAGCAGAGCCCCTCAGCTAAGCCTGTCCACCTGCTGAGCCTCCACATCGTTCGCTTGCTGGGCTCACATCAGCCCCCATCCAGGGCAGGCACTGCATCTGAGCCAGCAGAGCTGGGAGAGGGGAGGCACAGACATCCCAAATATCTGCGCCTCCAAGGTGCTTGCACCTGGCTAAAGTTGGGAAATTCCTCTCTCCTTCCTCTTTTTCCCCACTGTAAACAGCTAGACTGTGCTTCCCATCTCTAGTATTTGCTCCAGGCCTTTCTCCAGTTTGCGTTTGACTCTGTCAGCCTTTGTCAAAGTGGTTCGCTGGTGGTAGCGAGGTGTTTCTCGGCACGGCAGAAGTGCTTGGCAGCTGAGCAGATCTGAAAGGCAGAAAGAGGTGCCCTGCTCCAGCGCTGGAAGACCGTCATTTCTGAGCTAATTGGAGCAAATCTCTGTGCACTCCCATGTTGTCTGGGATTGCTTTGCTTAGTCTCTCTGCCCCGGCATCTCCCAGCAAACTCCGTGCAGAGCTCAGGAGAGCTGGAGAATGAGTCCAAGGCCACAGTTTCTAGATGTACCCAGACCTTGTTATGACTGAAAATTGGCTGCTGTTCAGTGACTTCTTTCCTGAGGTTGAGTCCAATCCCTCTTGCTGCAAACACCATATTTGTGATTCTCCTTGCATGTTGTCAACACTAATCTGAGGCTATATTTGATCTCAAAGGACTGTTTGCTGGAAATCGTTTGCTTTGGCCCCTCTTTGTGCTTGTGCTGGGAAAATCATTGTGAGATACCCCAGCACAGGGTTGTGTGAAGCTGCAAAGTCTGACCTTGTGTTTGCACTTTTCACAAGAGGATCCTGACATTAAAAACATCATATCTGCTTCAGTAAGCCCAGGAAGGTGGAAGACGGGGAAGTGGAGGCACCAAATGGCCCTGTCCTCTATACACCAAATTGCTGACTGCACTGTGCACTCTGGTCGCTGGCTCCTCACTAGATCCCGCCATCTCCCTTGGTGCTTGGTCAAAAGCACTCTGTGGCACGCAGCTTTACCTACATGAGGCTATTTAGGATCTGGTAACAAAAGCGCGTGGGATTTTGGGGGCAGGTTTCAGAGCTGTTCAGCACCTGCTCAAAACAGAGGGCACTGCCATGGATGAGTGTTCCTGGGAGCTGTTCTAGTTCGGGTGTGATGGAGGGAGTTCTTGTTTTGAGTTTATTCACCTCCCCATTGCCTGGAAACCTCTTTTCAACTCCTTTTTAAGGGAATTCCTAATCAGTGCGGTGTGCTTCTCTTGGCAGCGCTAAAGCGATGCTGCTGTTTGCAGAGCTGTGTTGACATCCCTGAGAAAGCTGGTGCTTTAACCAACATCTCTTGGCTGAATGGAGTGCTTTAGGAGTCAATGTTTTTAAACAAAAGTTGTCTTGTTCACTGCAGCTCTTATTTAAACGCCCTGGGAAGGAAACCCTGACGCCTGCCAAATGGCAGGGGCTGGAGCTGGCAGGGAGAGAGCCACCATCTGAGGCTTCGGGGAAGGTGGAACAGATCATGGGAAAGTGCTGGCCAACGCTGAGACTGTGGCGATGGGGAAGGCTGTGCTCTTGTGGCCGCTTTGCCTAGCTGAGATCCAAAGTCCTGATCTGCTACGAAAAGTTGGGCTGGCCTGGTCTGTGAAGAGCAAACCTGCAGGATCATCAGCACCTGTGCACAGGGAGCCTATACAGCTCTGTATAGAGCTCCTCTGCTGCAGGGAGAGAAAGCAGGCAGGCGGGAACTGGAAGGCCTGAGGTACTGCTTGTGGACGTGGAGGAGGTAGCTCTGGCCTTGCAGCTCTGATCAGTTCAGTCTGTTCCTCTCTGCTCCCTGGTTGCTGCCATTACCCTTGAAAGAGCAGTTTTGATTCTTTGCCCCACCTTGTGGTGCTGAACACATGGTGTGTCCCACACCGGGTGGGTAAGTGACCCCTGACTGCTCAGGCCATGGACCTGGGGTGAGAGAGGCTGCCAAGTGAGGCCACCCAAGGTGTCATGGGGACCTGGCCTCAAACAGCAGAGCATCTTCATGGCTTCCTGCTCTTTCTTGCAGGAGAAGTGGTGAACACCCACGGTCCCGTTGAACCAGACAAAGACAATATCCGTCAGGAGCCATACACCTTGCCCCAGGGCTTCACCTGGGATGCACTGGACCTTGGAGATAGAGGCGTGGTGAGTGTGGGCAGCTTGGCACACACCGGTTGGGAGGGTATCTCTGTTGCACAGTTAGCAGTGCTGTGCTTGGACTGCTGAAGATGTCTTTGGTGATTGGAGTGTGTCTTCCACCGTTACAAGCAACGCTCCAGCTCAGTGATCTCACCATCTCCTTAGGTGGGTCTGATTTCCCCCAAAGCAGGCGCTCGCCTCCCATCCGTCACATGTTGGCCAGGTTTGATTGGTTTCTTCATGGGGGACAGACGAGCGGGGACTTTTTTCCGTGTTCCTAAAGTGTAGGCATGGGGTTTTTCCCTACAAAGATCCTCCAGACCATGACCCATCTCCCTGAGAAATGACCTGGGGGTGGCAGGAGTATCTGTATGTCCTGCTGCTTACCCTGCTCTCCAGCGGTACCCATTCAGGAGCCCAGAGCCAGCAGTGTGGAGAAAGGGGACGTGCCAGTTATGGGACGTGGCTGCACGTGGCTCCTGTTGCTCACGGAAAGAGGGTTCTGGGTCGTGTTTCAGGGCAGCTGGGGGCTGTGACTGCTGAATAACTCTCTTGATCTGCTTGATCTCTCCTGCGGTAGCTGAAAGAGCTGTACACGCTTCTGAACGAGAACTACGTGGAAGATGATGACAACATGTTCCGGTTCGATTACTCTCCTGAGTTCCTGCTGTGGTGAGTAGCACCATGACCACAGAGCAGACCAAATTGGATGCTGGCGAGTCTGATTCCCAGTGATAGCGCTGAAGCTGCCTTTGCCTACCCCTTCTCGCTTTTTTCCAAAATCTCCCTTCCTCATCTGTCATCATCTGCATGTGTCTGGGAACTGTGTGTCCCAGGTGCTCTGCAAGAGACCTCTGTCTCACCTGGTCCTGCCTGCTTCAGGCGTCTTTGACATATTGGAACCTAAAACTGGATTTTTCCTCTTTGTTTTGATCTCTTGAGTGGTTTCAAAAATTGTGGTAGCTGAGGAGCTTCCCACTGTCCCAGACTTATAGGATAAAGGTGACTGCCAAGTAATGTTGCCAGCAGTAATACTTGGAGACCTATTGCAGCTGAGCTGCTATTCCTTCAGGGCCTTCCCAAATCGAGAACGCAGATTTCCTCCTGGATTGCAAGTGAGAACTGGCCTTGGTTACAGAGTGCAGGAATTCCCCTGGATCTGAACGATCCCGCCCTGTAACTTCACGGTCGCCCTCTCGTCCTCCTACCTGCAACTCCACGGGTGTCTGGGGCGGCCTGAAACGTGACAGAGTGGGGAGCGTGGAGGCAGAAGTAGGTGCACAGGGCACCTTTGATGGGATATGACTAACAAAGCCTGTCTGTTCTCCAGGGCACTGCGTCCTCCGGGCTGGTTGCCCCAGTGGCACTGTGGTGTCAGAGTTGTCTCCAGCAAGAAGCTGGTTGGATTTATCAGCGCGATTCCAGCCACTATCCACATCTATGACACGTAAGTGCTGTTCGGTTGAAGTTCTTCTCCTGGCCCTTGATGGTGGGTGGTGCTTGCCGGCAGTGCTCAGGAGGTCTGACTACGTTACTCTCACTGACTGACTGAGCCAGACCTGCGCCGCGCAGTCGTGGAGATGTTTTGCTGCTTGGAGGAGAAGGTGGAGGATATTTAAGGTGGGCAGTGAAGTTCTGTGCAGGGATATCTTGCAGTTAACTGAGGAGGCTCTTTTTCCTCAGTGAGTGCGGTCAGCTCAGAGCTCTGGCTCTGATCCTCCAGGGCTGGCTGCCAGTGGAGACCATGTTTTTTGGGAAACTATTGGATAACAGCTCAAGGGAGAATTTTCCAAAGCGCCAGTGTGTCATGCCCCTGGACCTTACCCTTTGGCCTTCCCTGGGAATTTGATTCCTGTGTCTCTTGTGGGGGCTGGAAGTAGATTGCCTAGGCCATCGGACTGATCTCCGTGGTTAGGACGATTGGGTCTCATCCTGTGCATCATTTCTTTCCTAAGAGAGAAGAAGATGGTAGAGATAAATTTCCTGTGTGTCCACAAAAAGTTGCGCTCCAAACGAGTGGCTCCGGTTCTGATCCGTGAGATCACGCGGCGGGTTCATCTGGAAGGGATATTTCAGGCTGTTTACACTGCGGGAGTGGTGCTGCCAAAGCCTGTGGGGACTTGCAGGTAAGTGACCCCAGCGCTCTGAAACACATAGGACTGGGGGAAACCTCTGCAGACCTTCCCTTACCAGGATCCCCTCCATGGCGTGTGGCAAAGCACTTGGATAGCTGTGCTTACAAGTGTGGGATTTCCTGGGGCAAGACAGATCAATTCCAGCCCAGGTTTCTCCTCCCCACGCTGTCCTTTGGGGATTAAATCCAGTAGCTTTGCTTAAGCTGCTCATTTATCACAAGACAGAAGACTTTCTGCAGACACACGCTTCAGGCTGCCCTTGGTTTTCTCCGTGGGAGCTCCCGGCCTGCGAGAGCCTCTTCGCTAGCTGGCGTGATGTTCTTGCTTGCCCTCTCCTGGTCGCTACGAGAACCTCCTGCTCTCACAGCTTTCCGGCTGTCCAAGAACAAGTCTCCCACCGTGAGTGTGTTTCTGCAGGTACTGGCACCGGTCCCTGAATCCTCGGAAACTCATTGAAGTCAAATTTTCCCACCTGAGCAGGAACATGACTATGCAACGTACCATGAAGCTTTATCGGCTGCCAGAGGTGGGTGCCAGCTGGGGCTGCAAGCTATGGAGGCAAAGCTCAGGCAAAGCTCCTAGCTGAGCAAGGGATGGGGCTCAGCTTTGGGCACACAAACATCTCAGCTGAGTCTATCTTTTGCCTGGAGAACTGGGGTTTGTGTTTCATACAGTAAATGGTTCTGTCAAGCCATTGTGCTTTATTTAATCCTATTTATTTTGCCTGGGTACCTGTATTTTAAGGGCAAATTTTTGCAGCTAAAAAATCCTATGATCTTTTGTATCATGGTGAGTCATATCCTGTTCTCCTGGTAAAACGAGAATACAGATGTGACAGCCTTCATCTGTCCAAACACAGCCTCAGAGTGACCTTGAATTGGGTTAGTCCCTCATTCCTCAAAGTGATCAGTTCTGTCATTGCAGTTGTCCTGCTGGGGGAAGTTCCCCAGCTGCCTATAGGAGAAAAATAAAACAGAGCATAAAAATTGCCACCCTGACCTTGTTTGCTTGCTTCTGTCAGTCAGAGCTGGTTGTTTTGTTTGGTGAGCCTTGGGTTAGAGCTGGGCAGCACACAGCTCTGGTGTCTTCTGCCTCCCATGTCAGCAATAGCAGCAGTAACTGATTGTAGCCATCGATTTTTATGCATAAACCCAGACCCAGAAACAACTTGTGCGACTTGAATTGGGCTTTGCTGAGCCCAACTAGAAATTGAGTCAATCTTAGACTAGAAATTGGGTCATACTGGAAATAAAAAAGTCAGACAAGACCTGGGTGTCTCTCTCACCACCTCTTTCTTTGCAGTATCCTACTGTGCCTGAGGCACCTCTCGAAGCCTGGCCCCACTGTACTAGGGAGCAGAGACCTGGAAGGAAGCAGAGACCTTGTGTCATTAATGACTAGGAGGCTTTTTCCAGCATGGCTTGACCCAGCACATGGGGCTCTGGGACCCACCGCACTTCTCTGATCTTTGCATCAGTGTCGCAGCTGATCACATCCTTCTTCCAGACAAGCAGGGCTGGGGGGGAGAGTGCTTGGCAGGGATTGTGGGATTGAAAATGGGCCGATCTAAGCAGAGAACATCCCCATGCTGATTGTCTGAGGCGGCTGAGGAGGAAAGGTAGTCCTTGGGAGAGGTAAAAGCACCTTACAAGCAGTGCAAATGATTTGTTCTGTTTTCTGTAGACTCCCAAGACTCCCGGCTTGCGGCCGATGGAGCATAAAGATATTTCTGCTGTGCACAAGCTCCTGACTGAATACCTGAAGCAGTTCCACCTGACGCCTGTCATGAGCCGAGAGGAGGTGGAGCACTGGTTCTTACCTCAGGAGAACATCATCGACACCTTTGTGGTAGAGGTAAGAGGGCAGGGGGTGTTTTCCTGGGCTTCTCCCTCCACTGGAAGAGTGTGCAGTGAGCCGATCTGTTCTCTGCAGGAGAGCTCAGAGAGGTTGCTGCCCTGGGCAGGGAGAGCACAGAGGTCCTCTTCCAGGTCTGGAGGTTTGAGCTGCTGGAGGAAGGTGCCTCTCTGTCCTGAGCTGCCCAGAGTCTGCCTGCCGGGCGCCCTCATTGGCACAGGCACGTGCCCGCTCAGACTGGCAAAGCCCCTCCAAGGCTCAAAGCAGACATGGCTGCCTGGCTCTGACACGTTGCTGTGTCACAGAAGTGTCACTCTTGGCTTTCAGAGCGCCCCTGGGGAGGTGACAGACTTCCTGAGCTTCTATACCCTGCCCTCCACCATCATGAACCACGCGACTCACAAGAGTCTGAAAGCTGCTTACTCCTTCTACAACGTTCACACCAAGACGCCTCTCATCGACCTCATGAGCGATGCTCTCATACTCGCCAAGTCGGTGAGTGCTGGCGGAGCAGTGCGGCAGGGCCAGGCAGGCTGGGAGCAGGGCTGGAGCGGCACCCTTGGCTGCTGGGCAGATCACTGCAGGTGTCTCCTGCCACCTGGCTGCTCTTGGACTTGCGGGGAAGGCTGGCCTTGGGGCAGGGCTTCGTACCTCATACCCAGGGTTGTACAAATCCAAATCCTAAAGGGGTCTGCAACCCAAGAGAGGAAAGGAACAGTAGCCTGAACCCTTTAAGAGCCTACCTGCCTGCCACTGTCTACTCGTTTCTTACAGCGAAAGGTATTGCCTCACTTGTCCATAGCGCGTAAATTGAGAGCAGGTACAGCAATGCTCAGTTCTTCCCCAGCACCCTCACTCCCCTCTTCTGCATGTGTGAAGCTGGGCAGGAGAGGGCGCAGGCAGTGCCCACAGAGGAGAGCAGCCCGTGGCTAGAGGAGCTGATGGCCTTGCTTCTTGCCTGTGCAGAAAGGATTCGACGTGTTCAATGCACTGGATCTCATGGAAAACAAAACCTTCCTGGAGAAGCTGAAGTTTGGGATTGGGGACGGGAACCTGCAGTATTACCTGTACAATTGGAAGTGTCCCAGCATGGCACCAGAGAAGGTTAGTCCATTGCTGGTCCTCCAGCCTGGCCAGCGCGTGGGAAGGGGCCTTGTCTCACTGAGGGCTGTGGGGACGGACAGGCCGCCAGTGTCTGGCACTCTCTTTTTGCCTTATGGGGGCCCTGCCCATGGACCACGTGTCCTTGCCATGTTAGAGTGAGGGTCCGCCCTCACACCCACCTCTGCACTCCCAGGCCAGCCACTGTCCAGTGTAATGTCACACACGGTAACGGGTGAATCCAGTGACACTTCTACAGTCTCCTCGGTGTGCCTGCATAGAGGGTGTCGAGGGTGTCCTTGGGGAGAAGCTCTCACCAGTTATCTCCCCAGGGTCACTTTACACTTGGACCAGTGTGGGACCAGAGGGGTTCAGGAGTCCTCAACCTCCTGCATGTGTGTGCTGATACAAGGCAAAATACAGAGTGAAGCCCTGCGGGGGGTTAACAGTCGTCGTCTGTGAAGAGGCAAAGGGCTGCAGGGTTGACAGATATAACACCAACGGATGCAACAATCACTCCTCCTTAGCTGGGAGGTGGTTGCTGTGCCCTGTGAGCCTGCACAGGGCCTGAGTGTCACCACGCAGTGCCTCTGTGTGTGCGTGTCAGTCTGTCTTCAGGGTCTTGGCATGTCCCAGTGGGGCAAGATGGACAGGAGCTCCTCTAGAGAGAACAGATGTGCTTGAGAGCTGTTGGGTCAGTGTTGAACAGGAACACATGATGCTGGGATGCTCTGGCAGCCTGGTCACTCTTAGTTTGCGTGGAGGGGCTGAGCCACGGGATCGTTGGGGTGCCACATCGTCCCCAAGGCCAGCAGCTCCTTCCCATCTAGCTGCTCCAAGCACTTGCAGTTGTTTCTAGCTATCCCTGTAAAGACCCTGGGTAGATGCCTGCCCTGGGCCATCATAGGCAGTGTCCAGTTGCCCTGTGGCTAGCGGGGCTCCACCCTGGACATGCTGTGGTTCAGCATCCATCCAGTTCACAGCCGTCTTGGTATGGACAGTGCTCGAGAACCACGAGCCATCCTGCTCGGCAGTGCTGCGCAGTGGATTTGTGGTCTGTCCAAGCTAGATCAAAACAACTAATTAATGTCTTTGGCAGTAACCGGACTTTGATTCCCCTCGCAGAGCTTGTGAAGCCAGGTCTGCGTCTGCTATCTGGAAAGTGAGAGAACCCTTCAGGCAGGCAGCTAGAGGTGTGAGATCCAACAGGCTGATTAAAGTGTGTAATTACTTATTTCTGTGGCCTTTTCCAGCTGTGGTATTTGGGCTGCTGTCCCCGCAGCACCGAGTCCCGCAGCACCGAGTCCCACAGCACCTGCAGGGCACGGTGCCACAAATCAACACTTTTTAAACCAGTTCTGCTCCGCCACTGATTCTTTAAAGAAAAATAATCTCTAGGGTGTTGCTGGGAGGTTTATCCAACTCCTCCCCTTGCTGAAAGGGCTGATGGCTTTGAGTGCCTGGTGCAGGGAGCTGCTCTCCTGCCATGCCCTGCGGAGGGTCTGAGCCCATCTCTGCACTTCCAGGCAGATCCCTGGGAGCAGCCACCAGCACATCCCATCACACAGCAGCCAAAGAGCACCCAGAAGTGCTGATTCCCTGCGGAGAGACTTGTCGTGGTACCAGGCTGTCGGGAAGCAGCTTCTGCTTAGTCTACTGCTATTAGCTTAGAGATAACCCTGACTAGTAAATCAAATGACCCCAGCTGCCTGAGACCCGAAGCAGAGGTACTGCTCTGTGCTGTCCCCTGTCTTGCAGACTGTCTGAGCTGGTCATACAGGCAAGAGTTGTAGAGCAGCTAGGAAGACCCCAAGCCTTGGCCACCTGCCTAGATCTGAGCTGGCAGTACCTGTGCACCTATTTGGCTGCACGGCTTGCTTGTCCAGCCAGGAAAGGGCTGCGCAGGGCTCTCCTGGGCTGTTGGTCTCAAATGTCCTAGAGCCAGTGGATGAACACATGCAGACAAGCTCACTGAGGCCTTTCAGCAGGTACGGAGAGGGCCAGCAAGCTGTGTCCGTCCAGCACTCGGTCTGGGGAAGAGGGTGCTTTCACTTGGGCACTTCTTCACCTGCCATCTCTGTTGGCTCTCCCAGGTAGGACTGGTGTTGCAGTAAGCAAGCTCTGCGAGGAGAGTGCAGTGCCGCTGAGGAGCTGGGCCCAGGAGAGATGCTGCCCTCGCTGTTTCCGCCAAAGCCGGACCCATGTGTGGAGAAGTGGAACTGAACCAGCTACACAAACATCGACTGATTTTAACGATTGTATCACACAAAGCCGGCCATGGCTCCCCCGGTGGCGTCAGTGGTCTCCTTTGTTTTGATTTAATTGCATCCTCGTAAAGACACGATCAAGGGAATGTAACTGCAGAAACTAGCTCATGATTGGCATATAATGGAGTTAACGGGTGAATAATAAAAGTATATATTATATATATTTTAAATCTTTCCTGTTCCCAACTGACACTAACGCACTCATCTGCTGAAGGCCACCTCCTGGTCCCTGCACCATGACTCTTCTCAACAAGAAGCTGGGTTGGCAGAGGTAGTTGCTTAGTGTGCCAGGTTTTTGTCCGCACAGAACAGGGCGAATCCTGCCCCAGGAAACGAGCTTGGTGGTTCATCACAAATGGCACTGAATGGCTCGGCACAGACTTGGCGGAGAACCGGGACGGGAGCGGCAAGACGCTGTGGCAGGGCTGAAGTGCTCTTCTGCATGCCTGGAGGGCTTGGGACCTGGGACCGCTTTGAGGAGACACCTAGCTGCGCTCTGTCCCTGTGCTTGGCCGTCTCCATTTGCTGCCTCCTCCGTTAGACTCCGTCCTTCCCAGCCCAGCTCTGCTGCAGGTGCCTTGAGAGGGAGGATAGCGCCGTCCCTCCCTGCGGGCTTTGGAGCAAGTCGATATTTGTTACTAAGGGCTATTTGTGCAAGCAATGCCTTGTCCCTTCTCCTCCCCAGCCTCAAGTGCTCACAGCCTCTGCTCAACAGGACAAGCACTGAACTGAGAAGCGGCAACTCCTGAAGGTACTGGGGGCTCCGCTCCTCACTGCCCACGGAGCACGTCCCGGATGCACCCAGCTCTGCTCCAACTCGCAAGGTTGTTCTCCTTCACCCCAAGAGGTCAGGACTGCATGATGGGTGCTCTGGGCATCGGGGAACCCCCCACCGTCGCTGCTGCCACAGCTCGGAGCACTCTGCACACCTGCTTTTCTTTCCAGGCCTGTTTTCTAAACCATCAGAAATAATAACGTGCACAAGTGATTCCCTGCAATGTGTGATCGTCCCCCTCACCCAGCCTGTTCAGCCTCTTCCACCAGGCTCGTGCTCTTGCACTGCAGAAACCTCCAAGGTAACGGAAAGCTTTCCTTTTGTGGAAACCCTGTGTCCTTTAAAGATGAACTGTCGGGAGGAAGTCGTCCTATCTGACAGAAATGCCTGGGAAGAGAATGGTTCCCGCAAGCAAATCATGCAAAAACCAGCCCTGCCACACAATCAGGAGGTGGCTCCTCCAGGAAATGCTATGGTCACTTGGGATGTCGTGTCTGCAGACCTAGGCTGGAGAAGGATTGTTGTGGGGTCTTTTCTAACCATCTTTTCTCACCAGCTGCCTGTCCTCGTGTTGCTAGTGGCTGGAGGAGGCTGGTGGCTGTAGAGCCATGCTGGCACGGCCACGTGACCGTGCAGCCCTCGCAGGTCTCTGGCCCCTGGAACCGCGAGCCGCTTCTGTAAAGGCAGTTTCCATTGCTCCGAGATGTTCTTAACTTCCAAGCCCAAGGTTTCCAAAGCTGCCTGCAAAGGCAAAGGTCAGTGCCCACCCTGCGTCCTTGTCTCTGAGCCCTCGTGCCCCAGGGCGTGGGCCCCTTCCGGAGTCCTTGAGCCCCCCAACCTCTGCAGGAGCGAGCACCACGCAGCTCGGAGACCCCCTTCTTCCACACCTGGCTCCCCGTGTACCTGGAGGGGCTTTGCCCACCTTGGCTTGGACCTCTGTGGCCTTGTCGAAGAGCCAGGAGCCACCACATCCGTCCCGGCAGAGCCACCAGATTCCCGTGCCTGGGATGAGGGTCCTATATCACCTACGCAAGAGTCGCGATGTCCCTTTTCCCATCCTACCACAGTGGTGAGGAGGCCGGAGGCCGCCTGCATTGAGGCTGGAGGGGAGGTTGTCGCGCACGCCGGGATGCTTATTACAGCTCGGGCAAGCTGCTGCTGGCTTAAAACAACCCTCCTGCACTCTCCCCTTGCTGGGGAAAGTCCTCTGCAAACCCCCATGGAAGGTGGAGAGCTGGTGAAGGCTGTGGAGGCATGCCAGCATAGAGGGATGCGAAGCTTTTGGGGGCCTTCCCTCAGCTCCCATGGGCTGCGGAGGGTCCCGTGGGGGCCCTCTCCATGCGCCAGCCGCCCTTCAGGCTGCAGGAGCTGCCAGGCCTCAGCGAGCACCCAGTCTACTTGCAACCTCCCCACCCTGCGCCCAGGCCCGTCCATCCAGAGAGGAGCCAGCACAAACCGAGTGCCCGCGGATGCCTGCCAGTAACCCCCAAGCAGCGGCTGCTCCTTATGTCTCATCGTGCAACCGCTCCAGGCAAATACTGTCTTGGTCTCCAGCCTCCGGGGCGGCTTTTTGCTTTTCTGTGAAGCCGCGGGTGAGCCCCGAGGGCGAGCGTCTGCTGCAACGGTGCCCAATTCCCCCGTGGGCTGTTTGGGCTGTATTGCTTGTAAACACCGACCCAGTGCTGCCCAGGTGCCCGCGGCTGCGGCAGCGCCCCAGGGGAGTGGGGAGGTGCTGGCGGTGGGGAGGGCATCAGAAACGGGGACAGTTGGTCTCGTTTTCACGAGCCGCGCGCGTGGAGCGGGGGCGTATTGGCCCATGGCGGCTGGCTGGCGAAGGGCAGCGCTTCGCAGCAGGAAGGGCCGAAGGCTGGGGAGAGCCCTGGAACCACCTTTCCCTGCCCAAATCCCTGCGTCTCCTCCTTTTTTTTTTCCCCAGGGAAAGGCGCTTTTCAAGCTCTCGCGCTGCCTTGAAAAACCTCAGCCCGGCTCTGTCCCTCTTCCCTGGCGCTTCGGCGCAGCTTTGGCGGCAGAGACCCAAGCCGCGACATGTGCTGGCTCTGTTAAATAAACCTTTATTCGACTCGCTCGACAACCTGGTATAAATATTTGACCATTGCCGGTGCTTAGCACGGGTTGCAAATGCAGCCAGCTCTCGCGGGCGGCGCTGAGCACCTCGGGCCAAGCAGCCAGCTGAGACTAAGCAAAGGCTCGTGGCCATGGCGGGACGCGCGGTGGCCAGGAGCCCTCGGGGCCTGCGCAGTGGCAGGCTGCTGTCCTTGTGGGCC